ATCGCGTGTCGGACTTAGTCCGACCAACAACGGTCATGATGAATGCATCAAGCAGTTTGAAGATACACTGGTAACAATAAAGGCGAATGAACGAATATACGTCTACAGACGCTAATGGTACATGTTTTTCACCAGAAAATGATGAATAGATTGCACAGCGAACAATCCATTTGAACATGGCAAAGAAGTCAATGTTCTGAGTATACCTCGTAACAGATATTTCACTCATTTTAGATGTTATTTCCTTCTCACTGTATACGAACTGGTTCACCTTTGTTCTCCTTGAACGGGTTAACATTGATGTGATTATTATAGCTAAAACACTTGTGTATTGTGGTGGACGTTATATAATCAATTCTGTGGTTAGCTTAGCATCGCAACGAAATGGAGAAATATCTGGAATTAATATAGGATAATTGGGTCAGAAAAAGTTTCCCTGAATAAAGGTAGGTAGTTTCGGGATAACTAAACACATAGAACTGGAAAGGGGCTGAATACCGCATGCAATGTACGGATATTAAGCCGAGGGCGTCATAAAAGATTGAAATGTCTGGGAGATATAAAGGATACGCAAGGCGGTAGATCTAAATTTCGTTATAAATACAAATGTGATGAAAATAAGGATGTTGCACGAGTTTGGTCAATACTTGTAAACAGTTTATAATTATAAACACTGGGAACAACTAACGGGATTAACCTAATTATTTTGTCAATAAACTGTCAACCGATTTTTATACTACTCATTAGCATCTATTGCTGTTTACCCTGATATGTCGCAGTTACTGGAATTCACCCACTTTTTCGAATTCCCGAGGGATGCAATATAACAGGAGATTGACTGTACTTAACTTGACTACTAACCGAACCCTAGAGTTTCATTACGCAACCGACTGTTCACGAGCATCCAGTCTGTCAGTGAAACGTTAACTTTTTCATTTACTATCCTTTCTCACTACGCTAACGTAGTGAGCGGTCTTCATCGTTTCCTGATGGACCAAGGAAACACCTCGACGACAGAACTGGCACGCTTATGTGATTTGTTCTACGAGGATCCTGGTCCAGTGGACATCAATTTATAAAGAGTTCGTTCTATGTACAAAACAAGCTTTTTACCCCTTCCTTCATCAGAGTCCTCACTGTGTAGGTTACCATACTCAGAGCTCGATGAGGCTTCAGAATCTACACTTAGGAAA